TCATAAGTGAACATGCCGCCCTTCAGTTAAAACTGCCAATGGAGCTTCGACCGCGACTACAGGTAGCCGTCGCAAATGGTGAGAGAGTTCACAGTCCAGGAATTTGTAAGGACGTGCCGGTACAGGTCAATTCTGAACTGTTTCTTGCTGATTTATTTGTACTTTCATTGGATGGATTCGATATTGTTCTTGGGGTCAAGTGGTTAATTACCCTAGGCCCGATTTTGTGGGACTTTAGCGCACTCACCATGACCTTCCACCTAAATGGAAAGAAAGTTTCATGGCACGGTTGCAGGGTTAAAGAAAGGACACCACAGGTCCATGCACTTCAGACAGAACCGGCAGCCATGGAAATACTTCTCGCCGAGTTTTCAGATCTGTTCCAAGAACACTGTGACTGGTCTAGTAATATTTGTTTAGCTTTTTCTACAATCATAACAGGGTTAGGGATTTTGCTTAGAATATGGACTCATTTCTGCTTGTCCATATTGTCCACAAGAGGAAAGAAATTTTTTCCAACGTGTCTTTTATTCTATAACCCACTTTAGAGAGTATTAAACAGTTCCACCAATCTAGAATTTATCTATCTTCATCAATAGGACCAGGTCAACATTGATCTATTATCAATAATACCTTCTTAGCAAACAAAGGATCAATAGGGAAAGTTTGTACTGGGCTGTTTTGTAATTTTTCATTACTGTTGTCTCTATAATTTTCTTGTATTTTTCTTTTAGGCCATGTTTGGTTTGAAGGAAAATGTAGGGAAAGGAAGGGAAAGGTAGGGAAACCTTTACAAACTTTGTATTGGTTTCCCTGTCTTTCCCTTCCCTTCCCTTCCCTACCTTTTCCTTCAAACCAAACATAACCTTAAGGAGAGGAGGTAAACTCTCCTGTGGAACTTTCTCACCACTACACATTATTAGTATAACTTGGAAACAATGAATTTACACTAGGTGAAACATCATCTAAAAAGATTATTGACTTTGCAGGGTTACCTCAAAAAATGTAAAGTTGTTGACAGTGATTTGGTGATGGTAGAACATGATAATCACCTTCAACAAGCTTGAGGATACTATTGTCTTGCAAATTTCTGTATGCAGGGAAATTTGTTAACAATTCTTGCAGAAATGGATTGAGTAGAGGCATGATAAGCTAGTCATCTTCCAAGCAAGGGGAGGTTCAGATTGGTGAAGATTATAATGCATGACATGCCTCTAAAAATGATTACTTGTTATCTGAAATCCAGCAACAGTTCACAGTCTACAGTCATGCACAGGGTGACAAAAATTGTAACAAATGGTGAATCTTCCCTTGCTTGTAAATCATTTTGTCAAATTCCGTGAAATAAAACGCACAAAACTACATTAGCATTTGATATAAGATGTTTCCTTTTTTATCTCTCGATGGAAATGTAGTGAGGATTAGGAAGACAGGGCACCCAATTCCTAACAGGCCATAAACCCATATATACAAATCCAACGATGTTACAGAAAGGGAGAACATACGTACTTCTGAAGAGTTGATTCTCTAGCTAGGCTTCCTCGCACCATGTATTCGTATACAAGAAGTCAGTGCTCGTCCTCGCAGCAGTATCCGATCAACTTCACGAGATTGGGGTGCCTCAATTGCCCAAGAAATATAACTTCAGCCTGCAAATCAATACATAAAAGTCCATTTAGCAATTAACGCAAAGATGCAGCAGCGCCAGAGAATCAACCAAGCAATCTATTCAGAGAAGGCTTAACCCAACCAGTTGGGTCCATCACGCCAGAGCATAGAGAGACCTTCACTTTAATTCAACTAATCAGTTATAATTTCCATATATCAGATTGAATATTGATGAAGACAAATCAAGCGAGTTGGTGTACATTCTCACCAGCCACTCCCGATGTCCTTGCAAGCTCTCCAAGGCCAAGAGCTTAACAGCCACAGCCTGCGCCTTCAACTTAGGTTTGAAATTGTCATCGATGAACCCCTTGTTAACTAGGCCGAACCCGCCCTCGCCCAGGAAATTTCTTGACGAGAAGCTCTGCATGATCTCCCTTAGCTCTGCCAGCATAAACGCATGGAGATTGGAGCCGATGACAGAAATCGAGATATCATCGGCCGAAAGTGGTGAAGCCGGGTTGCTTATGTCTGTCAACGACATCCACGGAGAAGTTTGCTTCTTAATTCTCTTCTTGGGTTCTTCCGGCGGGATCTCCGCCCTGTAGCAACCGGGCGATGACGAAGCAATCGATCGCAGACCAATCAAAATAGAAGAACTAGAAGAGATGGACAAGTGATCGCCGGGATGGTGGAAATGGGTTTTGGTTTAGAAGATCGGAGAAGAAAGCCGAGATTGAGAACGAATAATCCAATGACCGACCAACCACTCCTAACAGAGTCGGTTATGCAAAGTGACGCATGATGGAATGGACAAGCTTGCTCATGTTATACCTGGATATCTTCCTCCGAGACCTCTCCTCACAAGCCTGCTCAATCCGTTTGCCGCCATTTCTAAGGAGTTTCAGGGGCTCCAAATATTTAGAGTAAAGGGAACGAGAAACAAAGATTTAGGCTTCTGGTCTAAAGTTGTTTTAGACCGGTTAAAGTGCGGTTCAAAATTAAAAACCATCATTCTAGTTTATAAAGACCGCTGCTTAATTCATTTTAATTTTCTAGGCGGCGGTCTTTGACAGAGCGCCACCTTAGCAGTTGTTAAAGACCGCCGACTCCAAACCGGTAGTTTTTCGTAGTGTTTTTATGATTGTTTCAGGGAGTTTTTTGTATATTACCCTTTTAACTTTAGTGATAAGACCAAGGGTGAGCCATTAATAACTAATGAGTAAATAAGATGGGTCCCAGGCCCAAACTTTTGTAAGTGTTGCCGCACGGATTGGTCGGGGGCAACGAGGTCTTCAGGTTTCCAATGTCGGCCAAGGACTCTTTAGGTGAGTCGCAGCCGAGGACCGTAGGCCGAGGCGAGGTATTCGTTTGACTACCGAGGATTGTAGACTGAGGTGAGGTCCTTGGTGACTAAAGTTATTGCACGACAGGGAATGTTAGAGGTCTAGGCCGTTAGTACGAGGTGTAAAGTAGGAGAGAGTGTAGGCAGGGTATTGGCAATAGTCCTCGGATGCATCAGATCTCTTGAAGTAAATGCTAAGGAAGCAAGATAGGTGTGGGGAGTAAATGAGCAAGTTGTGTTGAAACTTTCTATTCTGGATCTCCTTTAATGGGAAGTTATCTCTTATTTATACTTGAGCGTGCTGGAAGTATGTGAAGATGAACGCCCTTGATGAGAGTCGTACAAGGTCTAGCGGCAAGTCCTGGTGGGTACATCTGATCGTACCGACAAGTCCGTACGAAGGCAGTAGGGCTCCCTACTGTGGCTGACACTGTCAGGTGTTAGTGGGTTGTGTCTCCCAGCCCACGATGGGCTGGGCCAAGCTAACCCACATCATTCCCCCACTCCCGAGGCTGAGGCGAGGGCTTGGCTTTGGTCGGCAACGAGGGAAGCAATCAAGGTAAGGCATCGACTTCGGTCATTGGGAGTAGTGGTCGTTATGCCTTCGGATATGTCAGTCGAGGGGTGTCCTACAGTGGCGTCGTCCCTCTTCGGTTCAGAAACGTGTGTGACGTAGATGCCTCGGTTTGGTGGAGGTGTTCCATATCATGCATGAGCCGACCACGTTAGGGAGCTACCGTGCGGGAGATGATTATTCCAGTAGTCGTGTGTTTGTCGGGTTGAGCAGTCCGCTCGATGGTTCGCTCAGTGGGCTGCCACGAGCGATCTTCGTGGTCCACCTGTGTCGTTTCACCTTCTGAGGGCATGCGCTAGGAAGTGCGGTGGAACTGGTTCTCAAAAACGGAGGGCTCACGCATCCGTTGGATTCGCGTCGATCTGAACCGTTTCTTTGGGTGTCGTTTCATCTCCCGAGGACAAGCGCCGGTGGCGCATCATAGTTGGATGGTGGGAGCGGATTTGTCTCAGCCGTCGGATTCGTAGAAATCCAGACCGTCCATTTTCTTTTAAATAAGGACCCTGGCGGTGACATTCTCATTCATTTGAACTTAGACGCCCTTTCTCTTGAGTGAACGCATCTCCCCAGCTCTCAATTCGCCCAGACTCTCCTATTTCTTCCTCTCTTCGGGACATTTTACCCTCTCTTAGGTAATTGAATATGTCGTTTTCAGATTCCGGCCCTGAATGCCATGAACTCTTGAACATCTCGGGTGGGAGCTCTCCTGCAACCCCCTCTCCCCTATCTTCCCTGGGTTCCTTAGCTGTAGTGCCCCTTCGTCGGGACTTGGCCGTCCTCAGGGAAAGGTTAACTTTGGGGGGTGCTGAGGGCAATCACCGGGGGAATGATTCTCCCTATGAAAGTGTCACCTCGACGTTGCCGAGCGAGCCCGAGGGATCTCTCCCCGAGGATGATGTTGTGGAAGTTGTCGCTGGACCAATGGGAGGAAGTGATGCCCAAAGGGTGGCTGATGCTGGTGTCCCACGTTTGGAGTTTGACAGCTCCTTAGACGTGTGCTAGGTCAAATCCCTGGCGAGGAGTCTCCACATACCCCGGTCTTATAACCTGAGGGTCCCCGATGTGGGCGATCAGCTGTGGACCCCCGAGGAGGGGGAAATTTGTGTCTACCAACATTTTTTGGAGTTTAGCCTAAAGTTTCCCCTTCCTTCTTTGATCTCCGAGCTGCTGGAGTGGTATGACATTGGTAGGTGTCGAATCCAACCAAAGATAAATAGTCTTGCTCCAATTAAATAATTTGTAGATAGAGATGAGCAATGCCGTCTCCACAGGGATTGGGTGGATTTATTTCCAAGTAAACGAAGTAAGGGGGTTGTAAAGCTAAGGAAAACAAGAAAATAACAAAAAGCAAAAGA